TATAATATGTACTTTTAAATATATGATTTTTTTTTTATTTGAAGGAAATGAAAATCTTGAAAGGTGGAAACATTTTCCGCTTAAGCGAAAATATGCCGACGGAGGCGATTTGCTTCCTTTTCAAAAAATGGAATGGCAGTGAACTAACCATGCAATTGCAGGAGCTTTATAATTTCATTATATGGCTTTGTGATCACAATATTCCGCATAATCTATTTATGACCCGTCATCGCAGTCCACTGAAAGATGAAACTCTAAAAGTGTTTGTGTTTACACGGAAATATTTTTGCTATATTAAGGAATTAAATACTTATAATATTGGGTTTTGCGAAATGGCTGGCTACGTAACTGTTGGAGGTAAGAAGATTTTTAATATTACTCTATCTTCGAACTTTTATTAACGCTTTTCTTTTATAGATTTACACTTATATGAAAATCTTACGGAGCGACAGGTGCTTTCCAAAATTCAAGATGTAACTGGAAATGTCTACAAACCAATTTACGAGTATTTCGAAAATTAAATGAAATTGAGGTAGGTTCTGCAATTCACTTCCAAGTGAATTTCAGCAACATTTAATTTGAATTCAAAGCGACTAGTTAAAATACACTCGGAAGTGAGTTACAGAACCTGCCCAAATCTGGCAACTACAACAATATTAGATAAGTAGAATTTATCAGGATATCCTAATGGTCTGATTATGCACACTTCGCACAACTTCGCATAAACTTCAAACTGTAATTTCGTATGTACTTTGCACGTATTTTGTTTGTATTCCATCACCCAAAAATTAGCAGAACATTCAAAAACTTAGCAATCTGTTGAGTTTAGATTTTGCTTCACATTTTCTTAAGTTGCATTTTTTGCCCTGGTGTTGTTGTTTTGGACCTATAAACCATGGATAACTAGAGCTCTGAGAGCGCGCCCAGGAACTCGTTTTCGTACTTGGCGGCACTGCCAATCCCTGGGCAGATAAACACCTGACACGCGAAGTGGCGAGCTACCACTAAATGTGTGGAAAATGCATCACATTGAATTCAGGGGATTTCTTCTTCCCGCATTCTTTAATATTACTAAAAAGCAGTATTTGCAACATAAACAGTGAAATATAAAATAGATATGAAGAATATTGCAACTTTTGTTCGTTGTGTTTAATCAAAAGTTTCTCCATAATTTTCTCTATAAATGCCCATACATGTTTTCATCACAGTGGCTCTACCGGATAATGTTATAAAAAATACACACTTTGACAGCGCTCTCGAGAAAAAGAATTTCATATCTAGTTATCCATGCTATAAACATTATAAAAAAATCGCGAAAACACAACAATTAAGAAAATTCACTTATAATGATTTTTACAATCATCCACAGTAATTTTCATTTACATTTTTTGTAAAATTTTATTATTTAAACCCACGAAAATAACAATTGAAAGGTTCCCGCCAACAAATTTGCAACTTTCAAAAACGTAACTACGATAGAAATGTAGAATAGCAAGAATCGAAAAATTCGAACATTGATCGAATAACCCAAAAAATGTGCAAGAGAGCCCTGAATCGAGAGCCTAATAACAGGGGAGAGCTGCAAATTCTTGCTCGTGAAATTTTTACTAGCAAAAGTTGCGATCCCGTACGAGGCCGGACTAGTCAGAATCAGTCAGATTTTACTGGAAATCGATCCCGTACTCGGTTCTCTGACTTGAGAAGACAAAAAAGAGAGTTAATACGGTTTTCTCTCCGTCAGAAGTTACCAGTTTTAGTCCGACAATTTTTTCCTGGTAAATGTGTCAAACGATCGGCTGTAGTGTGTTTGGCAACCAAATTGTAAACAAAAGAAAAGTGCACTCTGCTAATTCATGTTGAAAAGTATTTAATTACTTGTTACTAAGTGGATTCTAATGAATTTGAAAGTATTTTTGGTTATTTACATGTGTGAGCTGAGTGTGTTTACATACAAAATAAGCAAGAATTTACAGCCAAAATTTGGAGGTTATGTTGAAGTTGACAGAAGTTACAATTTTTTACTAGAAAGCGATCCACTTTTCAATGTTCCCTCTCCCTCTGAGCGAATTTTGATTTTTTGACAGCTTTACTAGTTTTAGTCCTAGAAATTAGCTAGCAGAAGAATAATGAATGTCATAAGCTGTAATTTGTTGAATTGGTTAAGCGTAAACAAAAGTAAAATGAGAGGAAATTAAAATCTTAATGATGCTACTGGACTTTTTAAGTGCTGTAAGTGCTGTGTAAAGCAGAGTTTAAAACTGATTTATAAATTGTAAATAGTGCAACAACTGTTCTCTTGCAAGTTTTTACTAGTTTTGTGCTCAATAACTTCTGCTAGTTTTCTCTTCTCAATTTTACGCTCTATTTTGCTTTTACGCTCTCGCTGCAATCTTTTACTGGAGAAGTTACTATACAAACCTAATATGATACGAAACTTGTTATTGTTGTAGCGGCTACAGAAACCCTGCCCAGATCGGTTAATATCTCAGTCGTTGTCGTCAAGTTCCACTAACAGCAGCCCTAAGAAGCGTGCAGCCTCTATGCGGTCGGTCCACTTGGACAAAGGCGTTAGGGTTGTTGGGTTTTCCGGGCATACGAAGAGATGCTTCGAGCCATGAGGTGTCTCTCCGCATGCTAGACACTCATTCGGCACATCCGCGTTTAGTCTGCTCAGATATGAGTTTAGCCTGCTGCAGTAGCCAGAGCGAAGTTGGGCTATTGTGGTTTTTGTCTCCCGAGGCAGATGAAGCTCCGTCTTGTCTATGTCGGGTGGTTGTGTGCCTAGAACGGCATTCACAAGTCTAGAGTCTACATAACTCGAGACTGACTCCCTGTGAATGCCGTTCATGGCCTGTCGATATGCTGCCATGCCATGCTCTCCAGGCAGTTCCTTGTCGGGAGCCATAGACGTGGTCACCCGAATGGGCAGCTGCTTGCCTAACCACGAGCCATCTCTACGAACTGACGGACGAAGTCCAGAGGTTGCACTTTATTGACAATAGCGGTTGCGTGTGCAGAGAAGCAGAGCAGACTGTCGAAGGTTACTCCGAGTATTTTGGGGTTATTCACCGTCGGAATCGGTATATCATCGACGTGAATTCCCAGCGGTAGTCTGACCTCCTTCGTCCAGGTGGTGAACAAGGTCGCAGAGGATTTCGAAAGGGAGAGGGTTAGGCTCCTTGCAGTGAAGAAGCGAGAAAGCTCTGAGAGATACGCGTTTACTCGCGAACACAAGTCATCAATTCCATTCCCAGTCGCCATGATCGAGCAATCATCGGCGTAGGAGACAATCGAAACTCCCTCTGGTGGTTGAGGGAGCTTTGAAATGTAAAAGTTAAATAGTAGCGGGGAGGGACACCACCCTGTGGAACCCCTGTTTTATTTTTCTAAGTTTGCTCGATTTGTCTAAACATTACCGACGAGTGTCGACCACTCAGATAATTCGGCGACCACCGTTTTAGCCTCTGTGGGAGAGATGAAGCCTCTATATCTTCTAGTAGCGTGGATTGGCTGACGGTGTCAAACGCCTTTGACAGGTCCAACGCTACTAGAATAGTTCTCTCACAGGGACGGTTGCGGTTAAGGCCAAGTGCGGAAAGCATGCTGATGCTTCGCTGGGGTCAGGTCGTTTGTGAAATACGGGAGCAGCAAGGTCTCTAGTGTCTTCGCTACCGGGGAAAGGAATGTTATCGGTCGATGAGAATCTCCTTTGTTGGCTGGTTTCCCCGGTTTGAGCAGTGGGACCATTCTCCCCACCTTCCAGATGTCTGGGATGATGAGAGTAGCCATAGACATATTGAGGACCTCCGTAAGGTACGTTACTCCCGCAGGACCCAAATTTTTCAGCATCAGCATGCATATTCCGTCGGGACCCATGGCTTTGGAGGCTTTCGCCTTCCCGATGGCTACCTCAACTTCACCGCTAGTGAAAGCAAGGGGGGCACAAGTTGCTGGCAGTTTGTGCAGCCTTCTGGTCACTGGACGCTTGGCTTTGTCCACCTGAGAATGCAGTATGAACTGCCGGCTAAAATAGCTCGCGCATCGCTCCGGGTCCGACAAAGCATGGTCGCCGAAAGAAATTTCGACCCTATCGTCGCGCTTCGTCGGACTGGACAGTGACCTCACGGTTGACCAAAGCTTCCCACACCAGAGGTGAAGTTACAGGTCTTCAGATGCTCTTCCCACTTGTTCCGCTTATGTACGTTCACTAGTTGCCGAATCTCCGCGTTGAGATCCCTGATCCGAAGATTTCCGGGATTGGCCTGACGAAGGCTAGAACAGCCGCTTCAGCAGGGAAATTTGGACGTGGCTCCGTTATGCATCCTGCCGGTACGAAGCGAGCTGCAGCAGCAGTGACAACCCTGCGGAACTTACGTTCACCTAGGTGGACGGCGGTTGGTGTGGGGAGCGCAGCGAAGGTGCTCAGAGAATTCCGCGAAGCCTTTCCAATCAGCTTTAGAAAAGTTGATAAAGGTCCGGTGTTCCGCGGAAGATGACTATAGGCAGATGGCCTGATGCCAAAGTCAGCATAGGCCGCCATGATACGCTATTTATCAGACCAGCGCTGACTATGTCTGATGAGCTGCAGCAGCTGCCGATAATCCTGGTGGGTGCGTCGTCTTTCATTGTGCAGAATATCGAATCGTCTATCCGCTCAGCCAATTCTGTTCCCCTACGATCGTTTGACAGGCGTGAGTGCCAAAGATCGTGGTGCGCATTGAAGTCACCTACAACCATACGGTTTTCACCTTTGAGGAGCGCATCTATGTCAGGGTGATATCCTGCCGGACAGCAAGTGACAGGGGTTATATATACGTTAAATATTTCGAGCTCAACATCGCCTGACCGGATAGCAATACCCTGACATTCTAGGGTGGTAAGCAAAAACAGCCCTTTACGCGTAAAAGCAGATGCAGCGCATTTAGCTCTAATTGCTACTCTAAATGTACATTTACCCATACAAAATTCGTCACCTAAATGCAGCTCCCTTTTTGCATTAAGAACCTAAATGCTAAATGCAACCCTGTGATCTGCCAAAATTTCCACGATTCGAACATAGTTTAATGAGGAAAAGTGTCAACACTGCTTTTTCGCGTATACAGTGGCTATCTGCGTTTAAGTGATCGCCGATCGAGATTTAATTTATTATTTTACATTATTTGGATGATTTGTTTCAAAACAACAAGATGACTTAAATAAAATATATAATTGGCTATGTTTAAACAAACTTAAAATAACTGTAAGTAAAACCAAATACATTCCCACGACAGCCGGTTCTACGTACCGCTCAGGGCTGGCATCGAGTCACATCCATGGCCAGAAACCTACACCTGCTGTGTATGCAAGAGACGACTACACCACAACTCCACCTGAGTCAAGTGTAATGCTTGCGAGGGGTGGAGTCACCTCAGAGTCTGCTCAGGATTACGGACACATCGGCAGTGGACCACGTCGTATGTGGCCCCCTGCTGCTCAAACAGAGCAGCCTCCACGGCTAACCCCAGTCCACCTGAGCAGCCCCACACAAACACCAAAGCACAACAACATAACAACACAGTAGACCACACCACAACCACGACAGACCACAGAACACACACAACCGCACCAACACCCACACGCCGCCGCCAACAACTCTTGGTTCCTCCTACAATCTGCACGGTATGTCAGACCAGGATATTCCGTAATGTGAAATCAGTCAAGTGCAACACCTGCCTTGGCTGGTGCCACTTTAGGGCATGTTCAAGTCTACGCACCACGCGATATTGGACGAGGAACTTCGAGGGCCCGTGTTGCGCTCCACGGTCGCAAACCTCAACTGCGACGCCACCCACCACCACCACAGCGCGACAACCATCTCAGCAGCGTACACAGCCAATGGCGTCACGGCCACACACATCTCTCACACCTCGCATCACCACACGTCTCCCGAACCACATGACGATCCTTCAATTTAACTGTAACGGGCTGGAGAGCAAGATCGAGGAGATAACCACCTTTATGGGAAGGCATGGTATATTGATAACTGCGGTCCAAGAGACGAAGTTGCACAGCATTTCAACATTGGTGAATTGTGCCGGGTGCAACGTGCACCATCGAGATCACGAGCGAGATAATGGTGGTGCCTTAGCGTTCATCACGCACCACACCGTGCAGTCTCATCGAAGCAGACATCGACCGCAGGGATACCACCCTAGAATGTCAGGGCATTGCTATCCGGCCAGGCGATGTTGAGCTCGAAATATTTAACGTGTACATACCCCCTGTCAATAGGGATGCAAACGATGCATCGATATTTTTGAAACATCGATAATATCGGTTCAAAATTCGATGCTTGCCATCGATGTTTACAATTTCCTAAAATCGCTAAATTGGCGATACATCGATGCCAGTCTGAGCGATGTTTTAACATCGACTTATGCTCCCAAAATTTTTTGACTGGCCATGAATTTTATTACTTATTCTTTTGAGGAACATTCAGAAATTCCGAGTTTGCTCTTATCTTTCGATATTAAAAATGCTTACTTAGTCATTAAACAAGGACCGAGATTCCGTTGAAATTTAACCGAAATTGGGCCCTGGAACTTTAGGCTCATCGAACTTACGACGCACAGTGTTTTGACTATATTGAGGCAGATAGAAAAAAGTTATGGTGACAGTTTATAAAAAACACCAGTTGGACCTAGAGAAGGAAAAGTAAAAGTCACAATACCACATTTCACATTATTTACTCACTCCCCTTCTTCACGAACGATACATTTCCAAAGAAATACGGGAATCGGCGCGATACCGAGTAATCAGTTAAGGCCCGTCCACATACAACTTTGGCGTCGCGTTGGCGCTGGCGTCGCTTTGACAGCAGCGCGAGTTACGCCCGTGCTTGCTACAATGAACGCGTAGCAGAGAATACTTTGGTCACTAAATTAACACACTAGCGGCAGATAAATCAAAATTTTACATCAATAATTGCATTAAAAACCATATTTCTTGCCCGCATTTGATTAAAAATGAAAATTAAATCACATAATTTTGATTATTTAGAACAGCTGACGCACGACGCACGCGAAAAGTTGAGAGTTGGCCATCTTTCTGCGTTGTGTTGGCATCGGCGTTGCCCAACTTTGGTTATATGGAGACTTTCATATAAATGCATGTACTCATAGTCAGCTGTCGAAGTGACGCCAACGCCAACGCAACGCCAAAGTTGTATGTAAACGGGCCTTTAAGTGGCCTTTGGCGATTAACCCATTAAAGAAAATGT